ATCATGAATCATTTATCCTTTCTACAAAATTAAGGTCAATGAACATTGGTCTCATTCAGTCAAAATTTGTTTCCTCATCTATGATATATTAATTTTATCAAGGTTACATCGTTCTTATTTATTTTTTCCCTGCAGAAGATAAAAATGGATCGCGTCGTAACATCGATTATTATGATCATCTATGCTGTAACTACCAATACTGTACTCATTTGTTAAGTATCAATCTTAAACAAGATCGAATGACACTTCAATAATTTCATCAGATCTCTGCTCCAATCAACTTCATGTCACAGCTAATTTCGCTAATTCAATCTTTCAGTTGAAATGATTTCTTATTATTAGTAATTACTAATGTAGAAATGAAGCTTGCATCCATCGAGAAAACGTATACAGTTTCTTTATTTTCAAGTTACGATATTCCCCTTGTTTTTACTTTTTAATAATTACATTATGATTCATTTTATTCACTGCATTTGAAGACGATAATATTCATTTTATTCACTCTGTCATTCTCATGCGACAAATGGTTTGTTACTACAATTTGATGTTATCCATCTGAGATTTTTTTAAAAGTATTCTTCGCCATTACCTTTCACCATCTTCATCGTTGATTCATTTTTAATTGAAATATATAATCCATTCAAGTAATTAATCATTTTAAATGAATGTTGGGCAAGCTGTATTAGAAGACGATAATATTTTTTCATTGAATTAAAATGAATTGATTTCACATTTCAATAATTCAAAGGATAATGGTAATTATATTTATTTAAACTATTAAAATTTGATTCAATTTTTTATCACAGTAAATTTCGTCATCGAATTTTATTCTTTATTGCTTTTGAAATCTTTAAATTATTATTAATAATTATCATTATTAACTATTATTATTAATTATTAATTATTAACTATTATTAGTATTATTATTATTGGCATGCATTACAATTACTTGTTAATAATTTCTATGTTTATTGCTCGAGCTAAATATTTATTATGAAGAGGATGAAAAAGAGTGATCGGAGAAGAGTAAGAGAAAGGATTGCTTGATATGAAGCTTAATTATTATTGTCAAGAATTTTCGCGGAAACATCAAAAAGATATCTTCCAATTGTTTACCGAAGAAACTGAAATAGCAAAAACGAGAGATAAATGGAGAAAGAGAGAGAGAGAGAGAACGTGACGAAGTTATACGAAATTTTATCAAATCATTCCAATTCAATTTTTATCTAATTTCCCTGTTTAGTGAAGTGTTAGTCGGATATTCTACGGAGCGCATGTATGCATGTGAATGAATGAATATATGCGCTCTACGAAACATCAGATTAACAAATTTTTTTTACAACTCGATTAATTACTAAGATTAGTGATAATTGCAATTAAGAGAGAAGACTGTCACCAAAGGCATCTCTTCTTTTTCTAATTTTATTTACAAATTTTTAACTTTTTTGAGATCTCATCAAAGAATTCATATTTGGGTAATTTTTTTGAGAAGATAATAATAAAAATTTGTAAATTCGTATAAGCAACTGATAGCTATCATGAAATGATATTTTTAGGAAATGAATTATAGCAATATCTATCGAAACTTTCCTGCCATTCGTAGGAGCGGCAGAATGCTTGATGAAAAGATTTGTAGAGGTGTTAAGTTAATTATTGATGAACTATGATTCTTTATCTTTTCTCATCTATCTGTTTCATCTCTGCAATTCATTTCTTGATGAATGTTCAGTTCATGAAATTGTTAGTTATTTACTGCATATTTGATAGAATGAAAAGCAATAACTATTGCGAATTTGTATGTATATTTCATTTTACCGGAAATGACTGAGTAAAAAACTTCAATAAATAATCATCGATCATTAATTTAGCTTTTATATTTTTCCTAAGTGTAGATTAAAATTAAAACTATGTTAAGTTATTTTTTCCCATGGTGCTACACTTTATTTAAATAAAAAATTTTTAACTGTCATTGTTTTTCTTCAAGCTTAATTATCGATCAAAATTAATATCTGTTACATGGATAGAATTTGTTGATACATAGCAATATATAGCATAATATTAATTGAAAAACTAAATTTCCACTATAATTAGTGTATAATTAGTGAAAGACAGCATTACAGTAACATATAGTATTGCATGGTAGTGCTCGCACCAATGATAGTTTAAAACTATCAAATTATTGCAATATCCAAAAGGGCAAATTACATGGTCGAATCTTTAATGATAACTTCATTAATGATAAATGGGTCGATTAGATTAAGGTCAATGGAAAAATACTGAAAATAACAGTTCGAAAAAGGTAATTTCATTCTAAATATCGATCTAGCAAACATATTATATTTTATAATAGATTTCTAAATTTCGGTTTAAAGAGCTTTAAAATTTTCAATTTTTGTAAGAATTCAAAAGCTTAAAAGTATTAATACCTTTTCATAATTCAAATTTTCCTGCTTTAAGAGTATTTTTCAGTCATTCACAGTACTACGATCGAATAGTATCTTTTACTTTATACTTTTGAAGTATAAAGTAAAAGATTGATGTTCAGAAATTGCCAACAATATTAACCGAAATATAAGATGTGTATTTGGGGGAGAGAATGTTAAGAATTACTTACTTCCCTTGCTTTAAGAAATTTATTTGGATTTAGAAGATGAATTTTTAGATTCAGTTATCCGATCGGAAAGTGCAAACGATGCGTAATGATTGATCTAATTAAAATACATTATTAATAGGAAGTTGTGAAAATCGTGAAGATACCTACAGGATGAGAGTCTGGCAAACTTGAAGTGGAGAAAAAGTGAAGAAACATTAACATACTGTATCAGAATTTCGGACGACAGTGTAACTGTGAATAAAGAGAATGGAGTAGCTGTTCAGAAATGCGTTGGAGGATGTCGAAGTTGAGAATGATGCTGTTTACTCGGCAACACTTGCAATAATTCTTTCAAAGAAAATCAATAACAATTTTAACATTGTAATAATGTATCTTACGCTGCAATAATGTATCTCTTAATGGTGATTATATTATTTCTACCTGGTCATCACAATCAGAATCATTTTAGAATCTTCTTGATTTCTGTCAATCGGAAACTTGCTTATAATGTTAATTGTGTATCGAAACATAGAAAGAAGCTCAAAATGAGATTCATTTAAATCATTCTATCTAAATAATCCTTAAATTTTATTAATATGATATTTATTCAATATAATCACTATCTTCTTCAGAAGTTCGGTGACACAGTGCTCAGAGCCACTAGTTAGCATTAGGAGGAAGTACTAAAATTCGATATCATGCAAGCTGTGGCATTGAAATACCGGGTTATATGTCAAGCAAAGTAGAAATTATTGATTCCTATCAATTTCCTATTCATACTAAAATCAGCTAAAAAATGGATAAGATAAAATAGTTATATATATATATATATATATATATATATATAGAAGTTTCCTTTCGAATTTAGACATTTTGTTTAGTAAATACATTTCCCTAACCATTTTGTAATCTCTCACATTGAACTAATTAAGACGACACCTTACCGATCAAAATATGTATTGACACATGAATGGCTAGCGTGGACAGCGTGCTGTATAGCTTGAGATAATAATTTACGTAGTCAGCACATTGTCCAGTCATGTCCTATACTACTGTATGAATTTGATAAGCAATTGGTAACCTTTGGTTTTCTTGATTTAAAAATGAGAACACAATGAGTCACAATATCGAATAAATGAATATATGTACCCAGTATTGCTGATGCGACCTTAAATCACTGTTTAAGACCGTATAAGTTATTCAGTTTGCAGATGATATGATTGAATAGATAAATGGAAGTGATAATCGATGGCGAATTTTAAAATATTCATTCTCGGATGATTGCATCTATAAGCACGGTATCAGTCACTTTTCTTGCGGCACCAATTTGTAACCTTCTCCGGGGATTGGAAACTGTTATTAAAAATGATTTCATTCTTCAGCTATATCTCTGGAAAAAAACATTAGGAAAGATAATACATTGTCAGGTAATAGAAGTAGGACAATGGTTTATGCTAAAGTGGAAATTATGTAGTTGATTATGAAATTACACCTGCTTACTTCGGAATAAAACAATCATAGTTTCAGGATTTTTCATGATATCATCGCTGTTAATTTATTCAACAACGTTTCTGCTCAGTAACACTGTAAGGAAACTGTAGTAAATGTTTCAAACAATTAAAAGTTCTGGATATCCATTTTCGTTACATTATAATTTAGCATGAACCGCCCATTGTTTACCAGAAACTGTCGGGAAAATCGAAACAAATTTATAAAACAATATTCATATTTAAATAATCAAAGTACATGTATTCCAAAAAATTTCTCTATTTTTATCATTTATTCGATTCATATGTAAATTCTTCAAATTAAAATTTATATCTTACGTCTTACGCACTTCGCAAATCTATATCTTAAACATCTAGTCAATTCACAATCACATGTAAATCTATACCATAAAGATTATACTGTTCAATAATCCGTTCCAAATGTTGAGCTAGCCTCTGTTCATTTAGCTTTTGTGTCTAAAGGATTAATAAACTGCTTTGTTAGCTACTATTAAAAAATGTTAAGCATTCTTTTGCCAGAGAGCGCCCCTGCTCTCCAAAAGGGCATTAATTAGTCCACCTCAAGCTAATGGCCATTGTTGTAATCTACACCAAAAATACTATCGGCTCTACCAGCATACTACCAAATACTGATCTGCTCTACCTTGATATCCTCTATATTGTCTGATAACGTCGAGAAGAATAAAACTCATCTTCTACAAGAAAGAAACCTTTACAACTATGTTCGTCTCTGCAGGCTATTCTAATCAAAATCACTTTTTCACGACAGAAGCTTCTGGACCATATTTTGCACTCATCAAACAAATTATAAGTTGCAATTCAAATAACAAGTAGAATTATTCAAGAAAATATGTTCAAAGAATAATTCATTCAAATATTCAATACTGTGTACATCTTCTTCAGGATGGATGAATGGAATATAAAAAATTGAGCAAAACAGTCACGAAATCAATTGGTTTTTTGATGTAAGCGGCATGTGGCGCGTCCGGAATAATTACCAATTTCTTATTTGGAATTTTGAGCAGCCTCGTTGAAATTGACGCTCTATCTTGGCTACCGTAAACTACAAGCGTAGGTACCTGAAACAATGATCACTGTCTATCATTTGTAAGTTTCATACAAAAATCATAAAAATTATGTGACTGAGAAATTTGAATAATTTATTTCCGTCTCAGATTATATCTACGACAAATAACAATGAAGACGGATGGATAGGCTATGAAAATAAGGGTAATGAAAGACAACTTAATGCCATGACGTAGAAATATTATATTTTCTCACTAAACTGGGATAAAAATAAATTAATGTGAATGCTTGCATGAGTCAAATTTAGAAATTTTTGAGTTCAAAATTAATTTTTCTCCAGTGGACCTTTAATCTTCAACATTAATAAAATCCTGACAATATATGGAATGAAATACTACAAAAATATCGAAAATCTGAAAAACTTGTCTGGAAGATTGAAAATTATTTTATTTTCAGTGTTCCTCTAAATGCATAATAAATCAGTCAGTGTGCGAAACAAGAAAAAAGTCAATTCTATTTAAGAAACAAACCGTGAAATTCTCCCAGCCATCAGTGCGAATACAACATACCGCTACCGGTACGAAACCACTAATTTTATTCGGATTATTGAGTACATAAGGTACGGAATAACTTCCACTTGCAGAAGGACTTATAATGATTGGCTTATGGATGTTTAAATTTTTTATTACTAGTGACATGAATGTAGAAAGATCATTCGATGCCATACTTTTAGTTCGACTCTGACTGAAGTCTGAAAGCAATAAATTGCAGACAAGTTTAATCACTAACAGAATAAACGATAATCTGATTAACCATGATATGATTACAAGAACTAGCTATCATAATTACGCTAGTGATTTTTATGACATGGATTATTCAAACATCATGCTATTTGTCAATAGCATGATTTTCATCATTTAACGGTATATTGAATGATATATTACTAGGTAAATCAATAGCAATAGTTCGATAACCGGCAGCGGCACTAAGTTGCATAATAGAAGGCTTATTTCTATTCCAGTCATGGGAGGAATATGCAGCTCCATGGAGGTATAAGAGATTTCCGCGATATTTTACCTTGACTAGTGGTTTCGCCTCCAAATAATACAGTATTGTTTTATCCTGAAAATAAATATTTCCATGAACTTTCTATAGATTTTGCATAAATTCAACATTCAGAATCTTTTCAGTCACTTTCAGCACTTATAGGGGAGCAACTTATTGTTGCAATGTGTTTCTTTGAAATACAAGACGACTTTTTCAGAAAATTAGCAAAAAGAATTATACATACATATTGTAACTAAGTTGCAATTTAGTTGCAATATATATATATATATATTAGTTCTTTTTGTCAATTTTCTGAAAAATTTTGTACGTTTATAAACTATTAGTAGCAAAAATTTACTCCAGAAAATTTCGAAATAAATGGAAGAATGTACCTCAAGTGTCGCAGTAGCATTTTTGACAACAATTTTAACTGCATCAGTAGTAATGGAATGACTTAGTACTTTGCTAAGTAAATTTAGATCCTCAGCTGGTGCCTTTTCCGATAGGCTGCGAGCCAGCAGCATGCAAAAAATAATTGTAGAACAAATCATTACCAATAATATATACCTGAAAAAACATTATTTCGTCAAATTGGGTGTTAATTGCACCCCATTTTTCTACCATATCAATTTATCAATATTTGTTATGGTACTAAATAAACAGTATGTACCTTATCTATTTGTTGTTATTTGATATTTACATTCATCTTGTACACTGTTATAGGTAACAGGAACGGTTTTTTTCTAATTTTCCATTAACAACAAACTTTTTAAAATTTCTAATGATGATATTGAAGTCAGTGAAGAAAATATTGGCATAGGACATTGAGTTGTGTTCTGTGATTGATAATTAAAATGAGAATGTGGTTGAGAGATGAAGGATTACTTCATTTCTGCACTTTTTAACATTCAGAATAGAACTATCAGTTTGTAAAACAAGAAGTAATAACTTTATAAAATAAAGTTCAAATCTAAAAGTGATTCTTTTATTCGGAAAATTCTCCCAATAACTGTTGGGAAGAAAATTAATCAAAGAGATTAAAATGATTGGCTTATGAATATTTGATTTTTTTATTAATCGTGATGTGAATTCAATCTAACTCTTTTTACAGAAATAAAATTATAAAACTTTTTTAATTCAAAGAAGCTATAAAATTTCAATGAATCCAGTACTGTATCTATTAATACAGATGTGTTATTCTGGTCTAGTTTTCGATGGATTCAAATATCAACAATAAATTACCGACAACTGGACACTATTCTTTCCTGTCAGACAAGTAATCTTTCCCCTTCTCATATTCATACAAAAAGTCATCGGCAACGAATCTCATCCTCCTTGTTCTTGAAAATTTAAATTTAAATAAAAATGCAAATGTCAATCGTTATCCCTTAGAAAG